ATTTTTTTTTTAAGTATAAAACAGAATGTATAACGGGATTTTTAAAATAAAATTTGGCTCATGACTGGATGATCTACAACCCTCACCTATAGGAGAACAATTTGAGCTTGACTGCTGGGAAATCACTTCCTGGTTCCTGTCATAAGAAATTAAGAACCATTTTAGTAATTTTTAATAAAATACCCCAGTGGGGTACACAAGGAGACGTTTTGAAGAAGACCTTCAGGTTGCGGAGGAGGTGGTAGGGAGAGTTAAACATTCTAAAATAGGTAAAGGACGTCCCTATAATGTACTTTAACTACAAAGGAGAAATGTTGCTTCCTTCAAGCACAGCAGCTTCACCCCTACTCAGTAGTGGAGGAGGTGATACAATGTCACTTTTAGCAGAAGTGTGAGACAGATGTCTGCAGAGGGGGAAGGGAATTTGGTCATTGGGAGAAAGCTTCATATTTTAGAGCTAAATTTAACCAATGTTAAGGAATTGTCCAAGATGTTCTGGTGTTTGCTAGGCATCTCTAGGTGATTTGGAATGTGCAAAAGTGAAACAAAGGCACCAGGCCTAGCTCAGCTGGAGCCACATTTGTGGTTGCTGGGTTTTTTGTTGTTGGATGGGTTGAAGAAATGGCTGCAACTGAGAAGCAAACTTGCCTCCTTCCCGTGCCTGTATCACTCACCCAGCCCTGACTGGCCATGCTTTTGGATGCTAGCACACACTCTGGCTGATTCTTCATTTCACTGCTTGAGCTAACGACGCATCAAAACTAGAGAATTAGAATGAAAGACAGTATTAAAATTGTGGACTGATGGAATTGGCATCTTCTTTTCAAACGAATGCATTGCTACTCAGAAGCAACGTGTGTTTAGGTGCCGATTAGTAATGGGCCAAGTGAAGTGAGTCCTTGGCACAAGAGCTGCTGGCTCTGCTGACACAGAAGGGAGCTGCCTGCACCCTTGGCTGTGGTGTTTGTGGCTCATACTTCTGCATAAAGATATCCAAATAAAGAAAAAAAAAAGCCAGCATTATTGACAAAGCAAAGGCCGGTTCTGTTTATATCTGCAGTAAGGCTGTGATAATGAAAACACGCTTTAATGTGTCTCAGGACCTAGATGAAACACTGAAAATGATGCTTTTAAGAAAAAAATTATAATAATATCCCCTTGAAATCCTGAGGAAATGTGTGTGGCAGACTTCTGGAGAGCAATATCAAAGAAATGGGAGTTGCAGAGCATAGGAAGTTACTGCAGTTATGGGCTTTGAATTGGCTTAAATCTTTGCTTTTAAGGTTTTTTTCCCTAAGTATCTCCTTAAAAGTTACACTTTATTGACAGGGAAAATGTTTTACTGCCACTGAACTCTAGCAACAGTGCAGATCTGTCAGACCTTTTCTTATTTTGGAGTGTAAATCCTTTCTCTGTGGCTGCTTCTGCTGTCTGGCCCCTCTCATGGGTGTCAGACTCCTAGGGGGGCTGGGAGAGGGAGGCAGTGTGAATGTCTGCAGAGGGGGACAGATGGGTAAGAATGTTCTTTCAACACAGAATTTGGAGCTTCGTAGTTAAGAAAGACATTTTTATTTTCTTAAAGTATTTTAGGGGCTTCTGGGGTGGTTGGGTTTTGTTAAGGCAATTGGAAAATTGAGAACAGAAACATTTATTAAAAATACCATCTGTCATTTCATCCCATTGCATCTTTGACCAGCTTTAATCAACTGGTTGTTTCATGGCAATTGAGCAAGTTTAAAATATGGCTCTAGGATCAGAAAATGCCCTCAAGTGTTGATGAGCACATGTGCAGGTATCACAGCTCATCTGGTGCCACTGTCCCTTTCTCCAAGAGGCCACATCGTAAGTAATTACTTCCACCTTATTATGAATTTGGGTGAATGGCTGCAAAAAGCAGCACTAACCAAGCAGGTCTTAGTGGCCAGAGCCCATCACATCCCTGGTCCTCTCTCTCAGGACCCCTGGGAGCCTCAGCCAGACTGTGCTCCAAAACCAACATACGCGTGATGCATTTTAGAGTAACCTTTCCCAGTCAACCCATGCTTTGCTCATTTCTAGCTTAAATTTTTGTCTACTTCTACTAGATCTGACTGCTATTCTTATTTAGTTAATTTGATAATAAAAAGATATTATGAAAATCCCACTTGGCAGAAGAAGAGGTGGGCAATGACCATATAGAAACAGAAACTGATTTTTAACTACATCATCCAGAAGAGTTAATGAAGGCAACAGACTATAAAGCTTAAGCTATTTGTTGAAGTTGAAAAGAGATCAGATTTTCAGTTGTAGAATTTGATTTTCTGAAGCATGAATGATGATATTCACCCTTTGCCCTTGGAGCAGGGAACATGCTTTGTTTGGACCTTGTACAGCCCTGAGCATGCTGTTGGCACTCAACAGATAACTGTCATTATTAACAATGCACAGATGTACTGGCCATTGCTTTCAGGTAGTCAGGCCAGGTGGAAAGAGTATGAAAGAACTTATTACAGACAGATAATTCACATGTGAGATAAAAGACTGAAAGGAAAAGAAAATCTGTTTTATCTGGGTAATTAACGGCACACTGAAGAGGAAAACAAGCAAAAGTATACATAGTGCAAACACAATTTGGAAGGTGCATGACTTAAGCTTGATGAGAGGTATACTGAGTAAAGATGGTTTTCTACCTTCCTTTTGTCCCTTGGGTGCCTATTTGCAAATATAAATGGCTAGGTGTGTTTGTGTTATTTATGTTAAAAGAAGATGAAGGTTGTAAGTAAGAGAACCTTGAAACTAAGGCACTCCAGGATAGCTACTGCTCCTGCAGTCTCTGTGTTGGCCAGCCAGGCTGTTTTATGTTCCCTTTCTGCCCAAGAGAGCTGCACAGGAAGGGCTGGCAGGCTGGCCATGGGCAGTGTCTGGGACACTGCCTGCAGTGCCACCTGCATAGGTGCACCGCTGTCACGCTGCTCTGCTGTCCACAGGGCATAGGGGTGGTGGCAGCCACTGAGACATGACAGTCACCACCTCCTGGAGCTTCTGGTGTCCCTGAAATCTCTGCAGCCCCTCTGGCAGGTTCCTGGGAGTCATGCAGTGCCCTGGGCAGCTTCCAACAGGGCAGGAGATGAGGAAATGCCCACATCCATTAAGTGGATTGTTGGAAAAGCAGGAGCACCAGCTCAGTGTGCTCGGAGAGGGCACCTCGAGCAGGCAGTGATAAAGTGGCTATTGGGTGTTCTGGCTGCCAGCCCATGGGTGCCTGGCCCTGAGCCCCAGTGAGGTTCCCTCCTTGGGCAGAATCCATGGTCCTGCAGTCAGCTGAGGCTCAGCACTCCTTGCCAGGCAGTCCCTGCTGCACTCCCCACTCAGCTTCAGAGCTACCATCCTCATCTCAGGCTATCCAGTTTTGCTGTTGCAGGGGAAGGTCAGGAAAATCCAGGTTCTTTCAGCTGTGTAAGGACCATTCCAAGCCCTAGTTACATCCCTCTTTTTCCTGCCTCTGGACAAACAACTCCTCTTTACAGCCCCTCTTTAGCCAGGAGATGCTCTCTCTGACTTGTTTTTCACATCTGCCGCCCAGCCAGCCCCTCTTGTAACTGGGCTGTATTGTTGTCTCTCTAATTTCCTGTTGTCAGATGGGCTGATTCTAATTGTTTTGCATTTTTGGTTGTTTTTCAGTTCATCAGGAAGGATAAAATAAAATCCTGCCTTCTGTGGTCCTCTCTTTCCACCGTAGCAACACCAGCTGAGCATGTTAATCTGAGGAGCAGGGCAGGGAGGGCTTACTCCCTGTGAAGTATTTGGAAACTGGTTGTTAAGCATTACATTATTCAAAATGCATTAAATTGTCCTGAATGAGGAGGAAACATGTCTTGATCATCAAGCTGATGGACATTAGCAGTCTTCCACCCCAGTTTGCTAAATTTGAACTAGATTTAGCTACTGCCTGCTTCATTCCTATTCTGCAAGGAAAGCTGTGGACAGGGAACTGACAAGGAATAGGAGGCATAAATTCAAGATACCCACAACTTGGACTGAAAGCCTTATATAAATCCTTAGGATTTATAGACTTTGGAGAAATGCAGTTGGCATTACTTCCTTCTTTTGACCAAGCAGGAAAGTTTAACCGGTAGTCCAGGATACAAATTCTTGACAGTCTGGAGGTGGCTTTGAGATCTGAGGGTGGCTTAAATGTTACTGGTGGAGAAGAGCGAGAAAGGAAAATAACACATTTCTCAACATTTCCAGGTTTGCAAAGCTTGTATGCTGAGCTAGAGGTTGTTAGGGTTTGCTCAGTCTTGAAACAGGGGTATCAGAAAAAAATATAGATGGGTGACAGGCAGTTAACCATGATTTTTTCAGCTTATTGCTAATACTTGTATTTGGTGTCTTTTAGGAAAATGAGAAACCAAATTCTGAATATTTGGCTATCGATTCATAAAATATTTTGTAATTACTATTTATATCCCTTGTTTGAGCATCTCTATTGTCAGCCACTAGAATATCATGTATCATAGATCTGCCATCACCACTGTGAAAAGCACACTCCTGCCTTGCTGAAAACTTGTAATAAGCAAATTATTCCTAGCTGCAGTTAGCGTAAAAAAAAAACCAATACTGAGGATTTGTGTGAAGAGGAGAGGCTCCTTTTGCATCTGTTTGCCATGATGGATGAGCTGGGATTTCCCGTCCTCCCTCTGGCTCAGTAGCAGAGCAGCACACGGGCAGGTAAACCCAGCACAGAACAGGAGCCAAGGCTGGGATGGGCACACACCGTTGCTCATTCTGAAGCTGCCAGTTACTCAGCAATCAGTAGAATAAATGTCTGGGGTATGCTTCTCCCTCCCCAAACATTTTGTCATTTGGTCTTTGTTCAGAGAGCAATGTCTCTCTCTCCGAGCTACCTTGACTTTTTTATCTATTAGCCTTAATCAGTTACAGGAAGCTAAGCCAGCTAAGTCCAAGGAGCTCAGTCTTGCCAATGTGACTCTTCATTTCCCTCCTTTCATCTCTCCCAGAGGTCAAAAATAGCTGTCTATGAGAAAATGTGGTCATACATGAAGTCGGCTGAGCCCTCGGTGTTCACCAAGACAACAGCGGATGGAGTGGCGAGGGTGCGGAAGTCCAAGGGGAAATTTGCCTTCCTGCTGGAGTCCACGATGAATGAGTACATCGAGCAGCGCAAGCCCTGCGACACCATGAAAGTTGGAGGAAACCTGGATTCCAAGGGCTATGGTGTAGCAACCCCCAAAGGCTCAGCATTAAGGTGGGTGGAATAATATAACAATATCCATGTTGTTATAGTATTCCACCTACCCTGATGTATTGTGTTGTCATTTTCTTTCTTGTGGATTTTGAGGTAACTTAAAAGTTTAAAATCTTCAATATTCCATGGAGTTAAATAAGACGGTAAATTATGGTTTCATTTATTTAATGCATCCATTTTTTTGTGTTCTCTTCGTGTTGTCCTCTCTGATTGTTTGTTGCTGTTTTAATTTTACAGTTCAATGGCTTTTTCAATTTAAATGGTAAAAGCCAAGTTAACGTGCCATATGTGACGAATGTTAACTGCATGATGTGGTGTTCTTGTTACTTTTTTTCTCAAAGACGATTTCCCCATCCCGCACACTTCAGTTTTGAGCAAATGTTATCCTCCATGCCACCTTCCAATATTTAACCCTGTATTTGCTGTACAGACATTTTGGTAGCTTCACGTTCTGTGAAATTTTAGCCAATTTGTCCTCTTGTGCTCCTTTTTTTATACGTTACGATTTCCTAAGCATTTGTGCATTTTTTCTTACAAGTTATGTTTTATCGTTTCAAGAAATGCTGTTAACCTGGCAGTATTAAAACTGAATGAGCAAGGCCTCTTGGACAAATTGAAAAACAAATGGTGGTACGACAAAGGAGAGTGCGGCAGCGGGGGAGGTGACTCCAAGGTCAGCCTCAATGTCACCACAATCGGGTACCTTAGCAAAGAGTAATCGGCAAGGCTGTTATTTTGCTTCTCAAGAAAAAAAAATCAAAAAGAAAGCAGATGAAAACTATTTCACTAATTGTGATGGGGAAAAAAAACTTTTTTCTTGCTCAGTAGCTCTTTCAAAGAAACAGTCTTATTTAATATCATCAGCGGGTTTGTTCAAGCTTGGAAACCTTATTTAACTAACAGATAAAAAGTCTAGTATTGATGGGACCTACGCAGAGTAAATCAGTGAGGTAACTGTTCAAGAAACCAATGATCACCTCTGGTCGCTGTCCCAACCCCTGAGGGCAAGGGTTTATGAGACTTTTTTTGGCCAGGACTAACTGTGCCAGCACAGACCTAGAGGTGAAAGAGCTTCAGTTTCCTTTGCCCTTTTGGAGAGGTTTTGGAAATTTTGCCTGGAGTATTCAAATGTCACCTTTTGTACTGACCAATCTTTTTCACACTCCTGTGCAGGAGCCCCATATCTGTGTTTGACATGCCTTTGATACAGATGTGGACTCAAATCTGGCTCCAGTGGCAGTAGTGGAAACCTTATCACTGCCTTCTGCTGAGCTGAGGCTTCTCCTAGCCTTCCAGGCAGTCTGTACTGTACCTTCACAAAGTTGCTTCAATGAGCCCATGTATTGCAAGTGTTAACTAGGGTGCTTTCCTCTTGTCAGCTTTGCCAATTAGGACTGGCAGTTTCTGCAGTCTTTAACCCATCAAGGTTAAACTACAGCTAAGTTGGCTGGGTGCTGTTGGTCACTGTGGGTCCAGGAATTACCAGGAAAATTAATTTAAATGACAATGTTATACTGTAAAGTACTGAAATTCATTTTTATAGTGATACTCTCTCACATCTAGTAAAACCAGATCTTTAGGGAACAATAACTCCTAATCTCTCCAATAAAAATGCTTCAGATTTGGTCCAAAATCAATAATAACAGTAAACTGCACTTTCGGACAATTACTGCAAATTACTGCTGCAATCTATTAATATGAGTTGCATACAGTTGGCTACATAGGAAGTTGCTCAGCGTGTCATGTCTGCTGCTTGCAAAAGCCACTGTGTAATATTAAAGGAAGGAAAAGCTCTTTAATTTGGATTGATTCAGTAGCTGGAGGTCTGCAGTGCTCAGCAGCAGCCTGGAGATGAGCACAAACTTTTTTATGCTTTTTAGCTCTGCTGCTCATCCTTCACAGAACATTTTTATATGTCATATTTGCCAGTATATTAAACGTTTCATATCCTCCTGGGATCCAGCACCTCATTGTCTAATGCTGCCTCCCTGAAAGAAAACTCTTCATACAAACCAGCTTCAATGAACAACATTGCTTCAAGTTCATTGAATTAAACCCAGCCAATAACACTTACAGCCCTAAGGAAACTAAAGAGGGCTTTTTAAATGGTCATAATTAGGGCACAGCCATGCTTCTATTTTTGCTTGTGCTGGAAGATGTTTTACAAAGAATGATGCTGTCTATTTGGCACGGCCTCGGCCTGGTCAGGCAATGTTGAGGGAGTGGAGTCTGTGGTGCTGTGGTAACATGAGTTGGTACCCAGAGAAGAAGGAAGGGGAGCAAACACACTAATGTGTGTTTTGCTAGTTTAGTCCTAAGTGATGTCTGTCTGTAGTTTGTTGTAACACGCTGTGGTGATCTCTAGTCATCAACTCTTGGGGTGCAGCTCAGCTGGCAGAAGTCCCCAGAGAGGAGAACATGGAATGTAGAAGACCTCCCACAAAAGACTAAACTAAGGGAACTGGGGAAGGGGTTAAGTGGCTGTTTCTAGAGGTGTGGTAAATCAAAGAGCTTTTTTGTTACAAAGTGGCTTTTCCTTTGAGGTAGTTCTGTAGGCCCTGAGTACTGCAGACTGCACTGCGGCGCAGTTGTGGCAGACAGGCAGTGCCTTCCCAGCACACCCCATCAGCCACCAGGCCCTGCCCCAGCCCAGCAGGAGCCCTGCTGCCCTCTGGGGAAAGATGAGCTCTGGTGCTGCCCCCTGTGCACTACAGCTCCAAGAGTCTGCTGGCCTCTCTCTCCTCACTGTCCTCCCACCAGAAGTTGCCCTCATCATCTCATCCCATCTCTCCGGTTAATTGTTTATATGAACACAGCGTCATTTGTAGAGCATTCAGAGGAGTCGCTTCAAAACTGTTGGTTTTTTCCCTTTTACCTTAAAGGAGGTGGCAGCTGGGGGAATCAGGATGAGGTGGTGAAGGCACCTGAGGTGAAGTTACAGACCTTGCCCTCCATCTCATGGCAAGGATTGCTCACTCAGGGCAGCTCTCTCTACCGGCTGAGCTGACAGAATCCTCTCTCAGCTTCCCCAGTAGAGACCGAGTCTTGGGAAATCGCTGCCCAGAGTCTGCAATCGTCACTTCCTACCTTCTGACAATGGGTTGTGTGTAGATGTGAGTCATGTCAGACTGGTGGTCAGTTTCTTTAGCTAAATTCCTCTGTGACTCTGACACTTCAGCTCACGCTGAAAGCCAAAGGTACGTATGAGCCCGTTTGCTTGTGCCAGTGCCCATCGTTGTACTGCAAAGGACCCGGTCATCTCTCGTGTGCTCGTCCTCCCTGCGCTCTCACATGTGGTGTGCCTGTGCTTGGAGAGGAATGATTCTGAGTTGTGAGTTCGTCTCTTGTTACTATATCTTCATTACCTCTGGAAAATTAAACAGTGACTGCCATTTTCACAAGGATTTTGAATCTTGCAGCAGGAAAAAGAAAAGGTATTAAATTTGCTTTCTGCAGGTTTTGAATTTGTTAGTTTACAGAGAATGTAAGGTTAGGCCTGTGGGCATTCCATGCTCCTGATTCATAATTCAAGACTGAAGAGGTTGTGCCATTTTAATGAGTTTGTTTTAAAGGCCTCAGCTGACATGTGTCGTGTTTTCAGTGCTACCAGTCTGTGCCAGTGCTGGTGTGGAGCAGAGGGTGCCAGTGTGCTCTGCAGTGCCTTAGGTGCCCGCCAAAGGGAATTACCCCATTTCAGTAGTGGTCCTTATTTAACAAGTCTGAAGGATAATATGCTCCACCTATATGTAATTTTTATGGGATGCATGTCAGTACAAGTGGACTGACTTGGCTGATGCAGACATTCTGGTATATGCATCAAAACTTGTTCATTTAGCCCTTCTAAATGAGCATGAATTAAGTTTCATAAAATTACCCTCTCTTCAAATGCTCTTATACATGCAAGCTGAGTTCTCAGTCATGAGAGAATACAAAATAGAAGTTGTAAAAAAAGCATATTCCAGGAAATATGTTTCAGTGTATTACTAGTTTGGAAACTAATTATTTTGTTTATTATGCAATCCTATAATCTTGGAGCTGAGTGATGGCTGAATAGGGATTTAACAAGAATTAGACAAAAGGGGATCAAGACAGCAGTCACAGGCTGAGTGACTTATGTGAAACTAATTATTCAGTTGCATAGGAACAGTTTTCTGCTAAGATAAATTTCTATAGTTCTGCTGTTGATAAATTTCTTGTATTCTTATACCTTCATGGTAACATTTAATGACAGCCAACGTGGAAGGAGAATGTTTGAACGCAGCTTCTCACCAGCTTCACAAGCTAAGATTCCTTGCAAATTATTTGACTTAATTTCTTTAAAATATTCTTTTTTAGGCTGTACATCATTTAGGAGTACATCAGAGAAATGACATGCAATGTAATATTATTTCATTTTCCAATTGTTTCTTTTTAATCATAGAATTACTTTTCCAGTGTGCTAGTTGGGTTCTGCCCTCAGAGCTGTGCTCCATACAATATCCCATTCCCAAGACTTTTGGAGTTGAGTGTGGCCATTAGCAGATGGAATCTGTTCCCCCTTGTCTGTGTGCTGATTTGCTTTGATACATTTTCAGCACAGCCGTTAACATTTGCAGCATAATTTTTTTAAGTGTCATATTTTTAGAAGAAATCTGTTATGCTTTATTTTAGATGATACCTGATGCCTAAAGAGCACCACTGCCAAACACGTCGTGCATAAGAGAGAACATTTGGGGAAATGGCTATCTTAAAAAGATGCAGCACGATTTATTTGAGCAATTTGTTTGAAATTATATTCATCAGCATGAATTTCCTTGTCATCCATTCTATAGGCCTGTGTTATGAGCTGGAAAAAGATAAAATGGCTGATCAGAGCCAGTGACAGTAACACAGCTAATTCATGCTCAGAGCTGGGAAAGTAATATGAAATTACTGTATTGTGCAAATTAGTGACAAAGCAAAATAATGCTTTAAAAGGAAGACACCAGAATATTGGTTTAATTGACAGCTATTACTTTATA